TATTTTTCAACTTTTGAAAATATACTTTTTTTTAAGGAAAATATTTTCTTTGGGGGTAGATTTTTATTTTCCTAAAAACAAGAAAAACATTTTCTCTTTTAGATAATATTTTTTTATGCCAATCAAACACATTCTAATTATTTTACTTTGCGAAAAGTGAGTCATGGAAGACTCATATGTTGGCTATCGCGGGTGGAATCGGACTCAGGTGACAGAAAGAAAACCACAATACACAGACCAATCATGTTCCATGAGTATGGACCTGATTCTAAATGGGTGTACATGTTAACAGCCCATGTGGATGCAAAACCATTAGGTAAAAAAAATCCCATTGTCCAAAGTGAAAATTACACCGTCCCAGGTGTTTAGAGATTATGATACAAATATCAAGTGAGAAAATTTTTTATGCACATGTCAGGTATGCCAAACCCTAATTAATTCACTCACCCCTTCATTCACCTCACTCTCTCTCTTTCTCTCTCTTCCTCTTCTCACCCTCGCTACACCACCTCCATTCGTAGCACTAGATCGTTGCTTCCCTCAGATCTAGCACATTTTCCCCATCTTCCCATTCAACAGAGGCTGGCGACGAATGCTGTCGAAAGTTCGTAGCACAGATGTCGCTTCCCCGTCTTCTGACAGTGAATGGCGAACTACCTCCACTCCCATCAACCGCTTTTCCGATGTTTGTGGCTAAGAGTACACAAAGTTTGTGATTATATGTAGTTTATGTGTTGTGATTTGAGGCGGTGGTGGTCGTGGTGGTGCCGATCGACGTATTTGGAGATTTTTTTTTGGGAATTTGAGGCTGTGGCAGTGTTTTCATTGGATGTGATGGTGGCTGTAATTTTTGGCGACGGTGGTGGATCTAACGGTTGGCTGTTATTTTTGTTATTGGTGGCGGCGATGGTGAATCTAACAGTTGGGGCGATTTTTGTTGAATTTGGTTATTGTGACGGTTTCCCGCAGTGGTCCTGATTTTTGTTGGCGTCGGTGATGGGGTGAGGGTGGTTGCAAATGGTCGTGATGGCAGTGGCGGTACGATAGTATTGGTGGTAGTGGTCTATGACCATATGTGACCAACCATTTAGTTATCTGTGACCACGTGACCTAAAAATTTGGTAATCTGTAACCGTGACGGTAGTGGCAGTACGATAGTGTTGGTGGTGGTGGTCAGTGACCACTATTTGAAGTATGTGACCAATCATTTAATTATTTGTGACCGTGTAACCTAAAAATTTGATAATCTGTGACTAATTAACGTGATTTCAAAATAATTTTTAATCTATAAATTTTTAGATATGTGATCAAAGAAATAAATTGTGACCTATTAAACTTTTGATTTGTGACCTCAAAATAATGTGACTAATTAATTTAACGATTTGTGATCTATAAAACTTTTGATTTGTGACCTTAAAATAATATTTGACTAATTAATTTGACAATTTGTGACCAATAAATAAAATGTGACCTATAATGATATCTCTGTGACATCATTATTTTTAATTAATTAAATATATACCTGATTTTTGAATTTTTAAACAATCTAACTCATTATTGAATTGGTATAAAGAATACCCCTGAATTATGAACTTTTTCCTTATCCAAAAACATAAAAACTTTCAAGTTTATCCAGCGCAGAATTGGTATAAAGAATACCCCTGAATTATGAACTTTTTCCTTATCCAAAAACATAAAAACTTTCAAGTTTATCCAGCGCACTCGAAGGGTAGCGACTGCGATTTCCCCATTATAAAAAATAAAAATAAAAATAATACACATGTTACATAATTTTCAGGAAAATTGCACAGGAGTCCTCCTTTTTTTTTTCTTTTTTTTTTTTGAAAAATATACTCATTTGAATCTCCTATAGGTCATAAGGATAAAACAGTAAATTGCACTAACACTTGATATTAGGTTTATAGGTCATCATTAGGATAAAACAGTAAATTGCACTAAGGGTCTCTAACCTTTCAAAAAAGTGCATGAAGTTCCAAACCTTTTATTTTTGCAGTCAAACGGTCATACCTTTAAATTAATATGCAGCATAAGGTTCCTTCAAAGGTTTTCACCCAAAATACAGTCGTATGACCCAGAAATCATCCATGAGTCCAAAACTTGATCGATTCAAATAAAGGCAAACATATTTTTTCATATTATTACGTTTAAAATGATTAAAAATGAGAGGAAAAATATAAAATAAGAAAAGAATAAGAACCCCAAATGAAAAAAGGTTTTGCTACTTGTACATTAAAATTGTACATAAAGGGCTACATAATATGATATGAAATAAAAATATTGAATGAAAAAATTGATGTGTTTTAAACTGACAAATAATTAAGTGCCATACGACATTATATAACCACTGATGTATATGTAGCAAGATATAATGAGAAATATCCCATGGAAACAAGAGATCAAACCTGTATTAATAAAAATATGAGATTGAAGATTCAATTTTTGTGCATTTAGCCCCTGTTTGGCCGCCATTTTGTGGAAAAATTAATGTATGTAATATTTTTTTTTTTGTAAAAAATGAGTGTTTGAAAAAGAAGGAAAAGAAGGAAAATTTTTATATTTATGTGTAATATTATTTTATGAAAGATTATGTGGTAAAAAATAAAAGAGAAATAAATAAAATGTAATGAAATGAAAATTAATGGGACCAAATAGGGCTTATTTACTTATGGACATAACTCCAAAGAAGTATTTCCATAATATTAAAACCAACATTAATGTCCCCAAAGTCTAACCCCATAGTATCAATAATTTACTCTTTTTTATTTTTAATAATCTTGTTTTGGATAGTTGTACTTGACTTTTTACGTCAAGGCAAACGAATACACTAGAGGGTTGTCCACCTAGAGTCCAATGTAGGTCCTTCAGAAATCAGTACCTAAAGTCACGCCCAAATTTACGACTGCAAATGGTCCCATCAGTTACAATATATTTGACAATCATTATTTAAAAAAAAAAAAAAAAATTTAAATAGTAATTTTTCAAAATATTTGTGATAAAAAAGTAGAAAAAATATTTAAATTGAAGTGTATAATATTATTTTATTGTGTGAAAGTATAGTTAAAAATGAGTATATAAAAAGAAAAAAAGTTTGAAAATAATAATTGTCAAACAGGGACTTACGTGGCTTGAAAAATAAATTTTAGAAAGTACATTTTAAAGAATTTGTATCAAGTAGGAACTACAAATGAGAAATATGGGTTGACGTGATCGATACTATCATAGTACTAATTAGGTAAATCGTTGTTTGCGTCAATAATCTTGCAAAAAGGAGTGCAATTTGATTTAAAGATGTGATTGAAACTCAAAACTTTATCTCTCTTTATAAATTCTCTAATTTAAAAGATTTTATATGACACTCGTTTCATTAGTCAACTTGAAAATTCTCGTTGGCAACTTGACTAACAAGCCTCTGTAAGGCCCTAGCTCTACTTCGACTTCCTACTTTGTCAGGCAGTTTTTTCATGATTTTTAAGATATTTATTCATACACGAAAATTAATGTTACCCAATCAAGGAGATTTTCTTATTCGTACTCTTACTAAAGTAGAAAAATTATAAATTCATTTTATACTTGTTAGTTTCTACCTTCCTCATACATATGATTTATTCCTTCTTTTCTTAAGAGAAATATTGGAAACTAACATAAAGTCGAAGAGAATCGCTTTTTGTTTTCAAGCATTTTGATTTTCTGTGTTGGTCTTTGATACGGATGAAATTATTTTTCATTTCCTTTTCTATGCTTACTTTTACAATAGCGTGATTATGTAATTAACCATACAAGGTTAAGGATTTGAGTTTGAGTCATATGAAGGATTAAAATTGAAATTAGAAAAAAATAATGTCCGCACTAACAAATATCAAAAGATTGATCAATAATTACCTAAGGCATGTGAATGTAGCACATGTTAATGGACATAAAAAGGACCATTGGTTAGGAAACAAATATTTCGTGGCGATTCCACTTACTTTTGAAAATGAAAAATAATTAATAAATATATTTAACTTACTTTTTATTATTTTATATTGAGATTTTCTTCTACAACTCGACAAGTAAGCTGCGTAAACGTAACAAAATTATTTATGAAAAGCAAAAAAGAAAATTTGTGAATAAAGCATAAAGCTTAAAGTTTAATTATTAGATTAAAGTCTTATTATTGTAATTAAATATTAATATATCATAAAAATTCACTTAAAATAAAGAAAATATATGTTTGTAAATAGTATCTCATCCTTAATCAATCTCCATAATTTTGGCTTAATCTATGTACCAACATGTGGACATATATTTCACTTCAAATTATTCTTCATCGACTAGAGTTGGAAAATAAAATTTAAATTTGTAAAATTTGATACGTGAGGTATGATGTGCTAGAGAATTTAGATAGTTTTCGTCGTTCGGCTAATTAAGAACTTGGTTAGTCAGCAAACTTTCAAAATGTGTCATTTTAGCCATCAATCTTTTTAAGTAGATGGTCATCAAACTTACAGAATTATTTAAGTTAAATCATCGATAACATATCGGTTGCTTAATTTAACGAATTTGGTAATTTGTCTAATGGTGATGCTTATATTGCAAAGGGAAATGATAACATGACTAAAAATTAACCAACTTAATATTCAAAATTGAGTAGATTTTAATGAATAAACTGCTGAATTAAAATTAAATTAAAAGAGCTGCTACCAAATCAAAATTGAGACCATAAATATCTTTCTTAGCTTTATTAAAAATGATGACTACATTCATTGATCATCCGCGCTAAAAACAGTTTGATGACTGAACCGATACAAATTTCAAAGTTTAGTTTGCAAAGGAAGCGTCAATTATAATAAAAGATTGAGAACCAAATTATTACTGGAGCAATAGGTTGGGGGTAAATAGAAAAATTTTCAATTCCTTCAGTGATCTCCCAACTCTTCTAGCGTGTCTTCTCTCTCTGGCAGAACTCTCGTTCTTTGCCATCTTAAAAGTTAAACCTCTCTCTCTCTCTCTCTCTATTTATGTGTGAAATTGTGTAAAATTATAACACACTAGGGGAGTTGAAAGGGTCACCTAATCCAATGCTCATTGCTTTATTTGCACATTATTCTCTGAGAACTCACAAATACACATAATACAAAGACAGATATTAAGCTGCCGAATTTAACTCATTGGGGGCTCTCTAAATGATTTAATCTTGAAGCCTTTGATGCACTGTTTCCTCCTTGAATCACACATTTTCGCTTCTGGGTCTACAAGATGGCGACTTCAGAAATATCTCTGGTAGACTTAGAATGCGGCGGTGGCGGTGGCGGCGGAGGAGGAGACGGCGGCGAGGAGGAGGAGGGTAACGTTTTTTTCTCCGACGCCGATGAGGGCTCTTGTTACTCTCAGTTTTACTTCACGGTTGATGGGGATGGCTCTTATGATGATTACAGCATTGCCTGTGGCTCTGAGTGCGGTGAGATTTTGGAAGACGAGGTTTTGGATTCTAGGAGGGCTTCATCAGTGGCCGATTCTGATTCTTCTGATTGTTCAGTGGATATAGAAAATGGTGGGATTGGAGAAATTAAGGTGCATTTCGAGAAGGTTGAGAGAGATTGTAGGATTTGCCATTTGAGTTTAGTGAGCAGTAGCCCTGAATCTGGTGTTGCCATTGAGTTGGGGTGTTCTTGTAAGGATGATTTGGCTGCTGCTCATAAGCATTGTGCAGAGACTTGGTTCAAAATTAAAGGGAACAAGTGAGTAAACCAGAATCTTGAGTTTTTCTTCTTCTTCTTCTTAATTTTTTTGATCGTGTGAATTATGTTTTGCATTTAAAGGTTTATTTGTATAATACTAGACTCCATGTCCATGCCTCTCTAGATTTCTTCAGTTAGTCCTTGAAGAGTCTAGCCTAATCAGAATGTACACTTACCCTGAACTGCAAATCGACCTAATATTCCTTTAAATTCACAGTGAAACACGGTAAATCTGTGTGTGATTGTTATTTTTTACTTATTTATTTTTTCCGTTTAGTTTTTTGCGATCATAAATGTGGATTAGAACTAAATCCATAAGTGTTTTTATTGGTTTCATGGCTTACATTTGTTTGACTTTTATTCTCTGCATTGTGTCCCCGTTTAATTTCCTTTTCTATTTTGGAGTTGTTGGGATGATTATTGTATTGAGGGGGCATTTCACTTATGACGATAATGAGTATTTTATGGATACCTTACAAGTTTGGTTTCTTTGATAATACAGATACCAAAGTTTAGTGAAAAGGAAAGGTAAAGAAGTTTGTGTTGTTATTGAGGTGATAGCAAAAGGTAAAGCAAAAGAATAAAGCAGTTGGAAGGATTGCTTAAATTTCTAACTACACCGACGATTCCTTTCTATTATATCCTCTTATGAATTTTATCTGCTACCTCATTCTTGAGATTCTCTTTCTTTCTTTACCTAAGTGGTGATTTTTATATATTCAGTTCTTTTTCTGCGAAAAGATTATTTTTCTCTGTTCCTGCTTTTTGAATATTTTGTTGTGATTTTCTTATGATTTTGAATTGATGCTGAATCTACTTGGCAATATTCATACAAGTATTGTCACTTGTTATGCACATGATGTTCCGTACATGGGATGTTATCTATTAATCAAGTAAAGCAATATGACTTTAGTTGGTCTATTACACTCTAGAAATCTATTAAACATGTGGCACATCAGCAAATTTTCTTTCCTTCCCTACGACAGTTGGCATGTGGTTTAATTAGTCTTTACTCTCCATACCTTTATATACCAAAATTATGTGTACAAAGTGCCTATGTAGTTAATGATAAGAAACTTGAATACGTAATGATATAATTTGCCGACCTCGTGAAGGAAATCCACTCCTCCTTGGGAACCATATCAATATAAAGCTAGTTGAGATCCACTGAGATGATAAAGTATGTTGTCAAACCGGGCTATGGACAATACGAAGTTCATCTATTCAAGAATGGGAAAAGGAGGAGGTATGGAGTTCAGTATCTTCATAAGTGATAATCTTGCCTCCTACCTAGGATGCACAAAAACTTAAAAGACTCAAATGTTCCGAAACTCAAAAATAGTTTTCCATTTTTAAATGAAATTAAGAAACTCTATGGAAACTTTTAGGAAATTTTGCGTGTAAATATTTAGAACTTTTACCAAAACAAAGAACTTAATTATGGGCTCTAACAAAAAATTAGCTTCATTACAGGCTTCAGTTACTATACTAAAAGAAATGTAATGTTAAATTTTAACATAAACCTAGATTTTCCAATTCTAGCGTCGGCCGTCCTTGGTAGATTTATCAATTCCATGAAAAAGTCGTGCGTTTCATTCGACCAGATTTTACATATGAATTCATTTAGGATGACAATGATTTATGTTGAAATGTTTTAATTAGATTAGATAGATCATGGTATTTTTGTTATTTAATTTATATTATATATTTTTTTGAAGTTAAATATTGAATTTATAAAATAAATTAATAATTTTCATATTACGAATATGTAGCATTTGTGTCCTACTTTTTACTTCCAAATTTCTTACTGATACTCTTCTTTGCCAGAACTTGCGAAATATGCAATTCAATTGCATGCAACGTTGTTGGCCCAAATAATACTGAGGGAGCACAGCAAACAAATGAAACCAATGCGGTTGGAACAAATACATTATCAACTCCAGCATCCCTTGCTACCGGCAGTCGAAGTTGCTTAAATGGTCATCGGCTTTTGAATTTTCTTCTTGCTTG